ATTTTATCAAACAGTTATCAATTTTACAAATAAATTTTTTAATTAATTAGGAAAATCAAAAAAGTTTAACCAAAAGAGCTGTAGAAAATGTACTCTAGTTCCTCGACTCGAATATTTTTAAAATTTAGACGGGCTGTATTATTATTTACTTAAAAATTTCATTTAAATAATCTTTGAATACAAAGCAAATAAAAGTATTCGAAACCGGGTTTTAAAAAGTGAAAAAACCGGGTTATTCGATATTCGAAAAATCAACATTAAGAAAAAACCGACACTGGTAAAGCAGAAAAAACCGGTTTTAAAACCGGTTGAAAAATCGAGTCGATCACCCTAGTAGGTATATAAGATTCGGCACAGCCAAATATAGCACTCTTACTTGTTTGACTTCGATTTTTTTGAGCAGAAATAAAAGTAATTTTTTGAGCAGAAAAAAAGTTTTCGCTATTTTATTATATATTATTTATTTTTCAATAATCAAAAAATAATTTTTGAACTGAACGAAAAAAACTTTTATTTCTTCTCGAAAAAATAAAATAAAAAAAAAATAACTTTTATTTCTGCTCGAAAAAATAAAATCAAAAAATAACTTTTATTTTTGCTCAAAATAATAAAAATAAAAAAATAACTTTTATTTCTGTTCAAAAAAATAAATGTTAAAAAATAACTTTTATTTCAAAAGCCCCCATACAACCGGGGGTCTTTTGATCTCATAATTATCTTAAATGTTCTAGTATCTCTTCAAAAATCGACAAAACTGTTTCATATAGGTCTCGGAATTAAGGTAGAGACCCACTGGTGCACAGTGGGTCAGAAAGAATTTTTTTTGGAAATAAATTTGGTATTTCTAAACGCCTATTTTGTTCGGAATAAAATTTGACACGGGTTTATCCAAGTAGTATTCGAATTGAAGTTATGAAAATGTATAGCACAGGTACTCAGGGTGGCGCTATGGGGGCTCAAAGTAGGGTACCTTCGACATGTAAAATTTTTAAACGTGTGCGTTTTTTCGTTTCCCATCCGATATCAAAGATTTTTATATTTTTGGAAAGCGCTTAGCTAGGTCTTGTGTATGATATTTATCTCTTATAACTTCTGAGTTATCGGCATTAGAAAATTTAAATTTAAGAAGTTAGAATGCTATATTCGGCTATGTCGAATCATAAATACCCTCCACCTGCAAGCTACTTTTTATTAAAACCCAATATAAATATATTATAAATGGTTAAAGTTATAGGGCCGAATTTATAGTTTATACTAAGGAAAGAAATTTTACTTAACCCATTTACGGTCGCTGTGCCAATTTGGGAACACTTAATTTTTAAGGCTGTATTAAAAAACGGTTAACTCTGGTTTATTTATTTTTGCATTATTGAGTAGAGGAAAGTGCTCAGAATAAATATTAAATCAAACAATTTAACTAAATTCATTGTTATTGTTGTAATAATCTACTAAACTTCAGTGGCCAAAAATATACTAAAAACATGTTATAAAATAAATTTGTTAAAATTTTTTAAACAAAGTATGACAGTTATTAATTTGAAACAAACGGTCTAAAAATAATCTGATAACATAGTAATGCCCGTGTCTGCCATTTCACTCTGTTTCTAGTTTCTGTGACGGCTCTAAACCGATAAAAAACGCGAGCTACATAAAAACGGAAATCCCCTCTAATGTCCTAATTATTAATATTTTTTAATATTTTTTTTCGTTTCTGCTTTTTTGCATTGTTGAAAATAAATATACCTTGAAGTTTCAAAAATTTAACTTGTACTTTTTGATTGGCTGTAAATGGGTTAAGTATGTACTTTAGTACTAAATTACTTTATTTCCCTTATGGAGAACTGTAAAACCCAGCATATGTTTTGTTTCCGTAATTAAGAAACATTTGTATTAAGTGATTTTCATATACCGACCGATTATTCTTCTTATGGGAACTATGACCAATAATGGACCAATTCGAAAAAAATAATCAAAATGATTTATCTATACACAGAACATACTCATGTCGAGTTTAATAATAAATTATGTGGTACTAAGTGGTTTTCAGAAGTGAACCTTATATGGGAGCTGTAACCAATTATGGATCTATGTGGAACATTTTCACGAATGATTTATATATATATATATATATATATATATATATATATATATATATATATATATATATATATATATATATATATATATATATATATATATATATATATATATATATATATATATATATACAAACAAATTCACGTCGAGTTTTACCCTGATAGCTTATTTATCAATGAATTATGCGCATTTAAGTGATTTTCGGATGTGGACCTTATATGGGAGCTATGACCAATTATGGACCGATCGGAAAAAAGAAATTCGTAAAGTAATTCATATATACCAATTGTGGACTGATCCGGAAAAAATTTCACTGAATGCTTTATATCTATATACAAAACATATTCACCTCGAGTTCTACCCTGATAGCTTCATTACTCAATGAATTATGCGCATTTAAGTGATTTTCGGATGTGGACCTTATATGGAAGTTATGACCTATTATGGACCGATCTGGAACAAATTTCGTAGAGTAATTCATATACACACAAAACACATTCATGTCGAATTTTATCCAGATTGCTTTATATATCTATGAATTAAGCTCGTTTGAGTGTTTTACTCTATTTTAAATATCGGACTATATACGATAAATTCCAGTACACTAAAAATTCCCAAATATTGCAAAATTTGACATTTGAGCTCCACAGTTTATGGGTTAAGAATGTCCGATTTTAATAAAACTTCGGATATATATTTTGTATTATCTAGACTATAATATTTTGATAATACTTTATTTAAAATGTGCAACAGTAAAGAAGCAATACGTATTCTCTAAAATATTATAAAAAAGTGCGATTTTCCCGAAATCCGCTGAGTTTAAAACGCAGGTACAGCTAAACGGTAAGAAATATTCATCTAATTTTTTACCGTTTAATAGCCTTATCTATTGACCATAAATCCCCATGAGATTTCCTAAAAATTTTGAAATTTGTTTAACAAAGATTAAAAAAAACTGAATTGGAGATGTATAATGAATGTACAATGCTATGCCAATTTGCATATATGCAACAATTATCAATAGTTATATCCCATATATATGTACATTAGGGTTATAAATTTTTGCTGTTATCAAAAATACCATGTAGAGCGTGAACAGAGGTTATTTTTATTACATTATGTTAAAAAGAAAATTGTCCTTTACAACCCTGTTGTGGTATTTCTAATAACTCGCGATAATATTGCCTTTTTTGAGATATGCAATATTATCGCGAGCAAAAACTCGGTAATGGGTAGTACTTCCATAACCACTTACTTTTCAATGACTACTACTTGTCGTCTGTATTACTTAAAAGTACTCTAGTAATGACTTTCTTATAATCTGATATAGAAGTACTTTACTTTCGGCTTTGTCATTTTCAGGGAAACCGAAAACATGCTCTAAAAAAAAGTGTTTTAAGCGCTTTAAATATGCCGTAAAAAACTCAAAATATACTCTTAAAATTTAAAAAATATGCTCTAAAAATAAAACTTTTCATTATTTTTTAACATTGAAAAGCTCAAAAAGACAGAAATTGTAATGAAATAATAAAACCAAAATATGCAAATGCATGTTTTTTGTGGTGCGTCGTATGGACTCATAGATAAGATATTTACACGTTTCAGACCAATTTAAGAATTTTGGCATCGATTTGTTAGAGCAAATTTTTGCATATTTTACCCATAAGAGCATAATTTTGCATGATTTGACTTTTTTAGCATATTTAAGGCATATTTTCGAGTTTTTAGACCATATTTTACTCTTTTAGTGCATATTTTGCTGTTTTCGCTTTTTTTCAAAACTTTATTTAAAAAAAAAAAAACTTTTATTTTTTTATTTTTAATTTTTTAGCCTATTTTACAATTTTGAAAAAAAACATTTCGTTTGTAGAACTTAAAAACTGCAAAAAATACATTACTCTCATGAAAACCAATGTTATAGTTTTTTGTTCAATAAAGCATTACATTTTAAATCAGACATAAAACCGATTACTTTTGATTTCATGAGACCAATCCATTTTTATAGTTGAAAAAACTAATTATTGGAATTTATGACAACACCGATTAAAATGTCAGTTTAGAAGCTATGAATACAATTGGAAGAAATGTGTCAAACTTTGTCGTTTGAAATATGTTTTTTGGGGTCCAAATGGTTTCATGTTATTTATTGGTTATCTGAACGTAAAACGGAATTCTATTAAACTAGTTCTTCAAACTATGAGATGAATCAACTATAAAAAATCTTGTAGAATGAAATATGACACTAAACATTTATTATTTCATTGCAATTTCTGTCTTTTTGAGGTTTTCAATGCTAAAAAATAATGAAAAATTTTATTTTTAGAGCATATTTTTTAAATTTTAAGAGTATATTTTGAGTTTTTTACGGCATATTTAAAGCGCTTAAAACACTTTTTTTAGAGCATGTTTTCGGTTTCCCTGGTCATTACTTTTCAATGTAAGTTTTCCCTGGGATGGTATTCATTAATATGAAAATAATTAAAATAATTTAAAACAAATTACGAACAAAAGTGGTGCGGGAAGTTTTTTCACCAAATTGTCTTTAAAAATAGTTTTTTTATTATCAGGACAGTATTGGCTATAAAGTAGTGCTGTGATATTTTGCCCCTAAAAAGATGTCATTGCCCTATTGTACATATTTCAAAATTGTTGACTTACACAAATGTTCGGTCTTATATCGATTCCTGTCAAAAGCAAACAATTAAATCTCAAAATCTTTTGAATATACTGTCCAACTTTAGATAAGTTTTGCGCTGTTTATGCATTAGCGCTATATTCTATAACGTTTTATTACAACCTTGCTGAATGCATTGCTCGGTCGGTAACTTGAGATTTTTTCGTCCATAACATTTACTAACACACTAATGCCCATTCCATAAAAAATAATTAAATAAAAAATTTACCTTCTTGTTCTTCTTCACACATTTCTCTTTCGTCACCATACAAGTCCTCTTCCGATATAATTTCGCCATCTCTGTTAAGTATATAAAATATATTATTTAAACAAAATAATTTACAATTAGAAGAAGAAAGAGTGTTATATTCGGATGAACAGAATCTAAACTACATTTTGACAAGAAACTTTCATCGGTTAAACCTACATATTTTATTTTATATTACTAAGATTAGTGCGTGACAAAAATGTGTAATGTGAACTTTTGGACTAATTCTTAAACTAAAGACGATATTTAAAAAAAGTTTATGTTTCTTAATAGGGTATTGATACACATAGAAAAAAACCCAATGAAAAATCAACATGGAATAATGTTGATTTCGTATCATTGTAAATTTTTGACAAAATTTTTAAAAAATGTTTTAACTTTGTTTCGATTTGAATCATCATTAAAAGATGTTAATTTAATCTTAAAAATAGTTGTTTCAAAATTATTCGTTTTGAAATAAAATAGTGCACATTTGATTTCACATTTTATAATGTTAAAATAACTGTTTTAATGTTGATTTTATAAAATGCATTTTTATAGTAAAAATCAACATTGCGTTTAGTTAAAATAACATGGTTCAATGTTAATTCAACATTTTATTTACAATAAAATCAACATCGAAACATGTTGAAACAACATGTGAAAATTTAAAATGATTAACGAATTGCGAATAAAATAATTTCATTTTGAATCAACATTAATCCATGTTAAAACAACATTCAAGTTAAATAAATATTGGTTCATGTTTAAAAATCATTTAAAAATTACAGTTTTCATATAAATATAAAATAACATCGGTTCAAGTTAAATTAACATTGAAACATGTTGAATCGATGTCAGATAATTTTAAATTCACATTGATTCATGTTAAATCAACATTATAACACAACAAGTAGGAAAGTATAGTCGGGCAATTTTCAAGATATTTTGCTGAAATTTGGTGTTTTTCGGCCCAACGACGAAGCCTATTGAAAATGGTTGAAATCGGTCCATTATTTCACCTAGCCCCCATACAACCCTAACCCCCGGAAAGGGCTTTCATAATTATGTTAAATATTGTAGTATCTGTACAAAAAACGGCAAAATAAAACGTCTTAATAATACTACCGATTTTCGTAATTATCAGACTTTATTTGACCCTAGCCCCCATACAAAGTCCTCTTCAGAAAATGACTTGATTGTCAATAATTCACTAATAAACACTAGTATCACGATGAAAACCAGCATACATAACTCTAATGTAAACGTAATGCCATGCACCAAAATTATAGGGATAGGCCCATATTTACCCTTGCCCCCATATAACCTCTCTTTTAGAAAATTACTTTTTTCAACAAATTGTTAAAACATTTCGGAATTAAGGTAAACAACTTAAATGCTTTGTTATTAAATATAATCCACATTTTTAACACACTCAGTGGTGTAGGGTATCATATGGTTGGCCATGCCCGACTATACTTTCCTACTTGTTATATATAGTTTTTATATAAGGTGTAAAGATAGAAAAGAAGATTGACATGGTTGTAAAAGTTGGGACGATTGTTTTTAACATTTGTAGTTTTTAGTAATATAGACAACTGTCGGTAACAATTCTCCCCCCAGTAAGGCGCTGCATATATGTTCTTACTACCAACTATTGCCGACATCGAGAACTGCTAATTTTACTACTGGTCGCTCTATGATACCACTTTTGGTTTTAACTTTTGCCCTTCGAACCTGACCATCTTTAGCTTTAACAATCTCCACAACCTTTCCCTTTATCCAAGAATTCCTTTCTGCATTTTCATCGACCACAAGTACTATATCGTCCATTTCTAGTGGTTTGACATTTTGGGTCCATTTAGAACGTCGAGTTAATGTTGGAAGCATTTCTTTTACAAATCGTTTCCAAAACATGTTTGCAAAAATCTCACTTTGCCTTAGATACATTTTATGGTCGATGCTTTCATGGTTTTGTACCATCTGAGCTACCTAAAAGGAAGTGATTTGGAGTAAGAGCTTCCTGATCCTCCGTTTCTAGGGATACATATGTTAGGGGTCTTGAATTAACTATTAATTTTTGTGCTGGAGATATTTTGTACTTTAAAATTTCCGCAACCCGGAACATAACAAACTGCTTAGATTTCATTGGTTCGCCACCTAACCATGTTAAAACAGTTACAGAATCGGTCCACATAATTTTTCGCTGCAAATTAATTTTGTGACGACTTACTGTGTTCATAAGTCTTGCAACTATTACAGCGGCTTGTAACTCGAGTCGTGGTATGGATAAGGGTCGAAGCGGGGCCACTTTTGATTTTGCAGCTACCAGACGTATTTCTACTTTACCGTTAAGTTCTATTCAAAATATGAAACAGCTGCGTAATCGTCCTCACTTGCGTCGACAAATGTATGGAGTTCGGCGACATAATTATGATGTTGTAGGTCTTTAGAATAGCATCGAGGTATGGAAACAGCTTCAATTGTTGGCAAAAAATTTAGCCAATTTTTCCATTTACAAAAATCTTCCTTTCTCACCTTTATGCGGTGAAACATTTGGCCATATTCCACACACTGCAATGGCTCCAATCCGAAATTTAAATATAATATTTATTAGGGGTATTAAATAATCAGGGCCCTTTAACAACAAATCATTGAGGGAAAAATCACCAGATTTGGCAGCTGCATCCCATACGAGTTTTATTTTATTGGGCTTATGTGGGTTTTTAACAATAAATGTGGGTAAGTACCTAATACTTCAATTAGAAAACCTTTGTTTTCTAAATCAGAAAATTTTTTTGATTTATAATTTCGGCAAGATCCGGTTTCTGAGCTGCTTTTCGCCTTATACATTGTAATCGTTTAATGGTCGTGGGTAAACTGTTTTTATAAACAAAATGATAACTTGACCGATTCATTTCTTGCAGAATTGAGTAATATAATTTTGGAAGATATATTTTACCATGAAGCTGTTTTTCGTGAAATATTTTTATTTGTCAACCTACAAATATTTTCCCAATGTGAACACCAAACAAGAAACATTTTTGTTTAACGTTAAAACAAGTAAGAGTGCTATATTCGGCTGTGCCGAATCTTATATACCCTTCCAAAATTTAGATTTATTTTATTTTCCCGACTATATCATTATTATAACAATAGCAAAACAAAATGAACAACAACTAAACGAAATAAACACACAAAACAAAATACACAAGACAGTAAAATCAACAGAAATCCAAACATACGAAACGAAATACACAAAAAAACAAAATACACAACGCAATGAAACCAACAGACATCCAAACATACGAAATTGAATACACCAAGAAATAAAAACCAGCGTTTTAAACTAGCACCACCTCAGACACCACCACCACCAAGACAAATATATTTTTGTGCTTTAGCAGCGCACACTCAAATTTGTTAAACTAATATGGCGAGTATTGATGTTAATTTTTCCTAGAAGCAATGTAACTTTATTTTGGTTTTGCTACTGCCAGTTGTAGTTTTATTTATTATTTTTTGGCAATATTGATGCTGCAATTTATAAATAAACATATGTAGGTATGTATGTGAATACACTGACAGTTTTATGACATTTCATGAGCTTAAATTCAGTATTACACTTCACATTTGTACGAATGTACGCATGCATGTATGTATGTATGTATGTATGTATGTATGTATGTATGTATGTATGTATGTATGTATGTATGTATGTATGTATGTATTTATGTATGTATGTATGTATGTATGTATGTATGTATGTATGTATGTATGTATGTATGTATGTATGTATGTATGTATGTATGTATGTATGTATGTATGTATGTATGTATGTATGTATGTATGTATGTATGTATGTATGTATGTATGTATGTATGTATGTATGTATGTATGTATGTATGTATGTATGTATGTATGTATGTATGTATGTATGTATGTATGTATGTATGTATGTATGTATGTATGTATGTATGTATGTATGTATGTATGTATGTATGTATGTATGTATCTATGTATGTATGTATGTATGTATGTATGTATGTATGTATGTATGTATGTATGTATGTATGTACATTTATCGATGATATTCGACCTATAATATCCTGTACTGATTGACATATTAATTATTAAAATATAGTTTAAATATTCTCATAGTTTCTGTATGATATAATACAGAAAATACTACCTTGATATTTGTTTGTTTTTTTTCCTTAATGTATCACACAATAATATTAACTACATTTCTTCAAAAAAAAAAAATTATATAATAATCTTCCACATTTTAACAGTGTGATTTGAATAATTTGTAAAGTAAGCTCATTAGAATTCAACGAAAAATATTTTAATTATGTGTGTTTACCCTGTTTTATACAAGGTGATTATAAATTTATTAATTTCTACAACAAAAAATATTTAAAACTATCATTTGGTTATAAAGTTGTTATAAGTATAAGCATATTATCTTACAACTACATTGCTCAAAAATGTTTATTCATTAGAACAAAATAATAAAAACATCTAAAGAACGCTTTTAATTTGGGTTGTGTTTTATGGGGTAGCCATATTTTCAATAACATATACATATTTATTTAATTCATATGGAGGTTCCAAGCCCCCTAATAAAAGTCTGCTCATTTTTTCCCAATGTTCATAATGAAGTTAAAGTTTTTCGTCAAAATTAGAAGATTCTGACTCTAATAGTTTCCGAGAAAAACGATTTCTGTATTTAATTCATATGGGAGGTGCCACTATGTATATTTTACAAACTATTTTTTATGTTGCGAAAAATAATTATCCTTAATTAGAGATTGTGGTAACACTGGTATAACTGTTTATTCATAAAATAAAATATAAAAAAAAAACAATAAATAAATTTGCAGCTAGCAGTTGCAAAACAAAATTTAATTGCTGCTAGGAAAAACTCAGTGCAAATAAAAATATCATCAATACTAGCTATATTAGTTTAACAGATGTGACTGTGCGCTGCTATAGCACAAAAATATATTTTTTTCTTGTACAAAAACAAGAGATTAATACTGTTCATTCC